AATATGGCTGGGCTCGGTGGCTCAGCCTGTAATCCCGCGCCTTGGGAGGCTGAGATGAGTGGATTGCCTGAGGCCGCGGGTTCGAGACCCGCCTGGGCAAGTTGGTGAGACCTCATCTCTACAATAAATCAAAAAATTAGCCGGGCGTGGCAGTGTGCGCCTATAATTCTGACTACTTGGAAGGCTGAGGTGGAAGGATCGCCGGAGCCCAGTAGGCCGAGGCTGCAGTGGCCGGAGCGAGCGGCTACTGCACTCCAGTCTGGGTGACAGAGTGAGACTCCAACTCAAAAAAAAAAGAAAGAAAAGAAAAGAAAAATGAAGCTTAAAACCACTCAAAATTCTGCAGTTCACTGAGTAACAGAGTCTGAAACACTACTGATCTAAACCCCTCCACTTGGCTTATTCCATAGTATAGGAGGAAAACCCATGCAGAATTTAACTCTGAGGGTCATAATATTTAGTCAACCTTATTACCAACTCATCATGACTCTTGTAAGGTAACTCATTCATTATATTCTCTTTCTAGTAATGGGATAGCAAGAATGAATTATTGTGTAATAAAGTAAGTGTAAATATAAACAGAGTATTTGTTACTCAGGGGCAAATCACTTGTTTCTATAATGAGGTAACTAAGGCTTTCAAAACGTATTCAAATTTAAAACAAGACTGGCTGGATGTGGTGGCTTATGCCTGCAATCCCAGTACTTTAGGGGGTCGAGGTGGCTGGATTACTTGAGCCCTGGAATTCAAGACCACCCTGGGTAACATAGCGAAATCTCATCTCTACAAAAAATTAAAAAATTAGCCAGGCATGGTGGCGCACGCCTGTAGTCCCAGCTACTCAGGAGGCTCAGGTGGAAGGTTCGCCTGAGCCCAGGAGGTCAAGGCCGCCATGAGCCATGATTGCTGTGATTGTGCCACTGCACTCCCAGCCCGGGTGACAGATTGAGATCCTGACTTAAAACAAAAACAAAACGTATGCAAGTGGTACAAGGTAGATCAACAGTGGCCAACTAAATCAAACGTTGCATTGCTTAATAATCAAGTGTCTTTTCAAGTTGTAATGTATAAAATTCATAAGAAATAGCTTCACCCAGCCACAAATCAGACGGAGCATTTTATTTTATGAATATATCATTAAAACTGGAAACAAAAGTTAACAGAACTAAATACGTACATTATCTATAACAAGCATATAAAATGTGTATATAGCAAACATAATAAACCCTGTGGATTGAAATTCCATGAATAGGAGATTTGTTTTCAATCATCATGTTTTCATTCTTGGACTCTGCTTCTATGTGAGGAAACCACCAGGACTATGTAGGGAGGTGAATTCAAGCATGTGGTTTCCATAGGTGGGCTGAGACCTTGCTCACAGGAAACTAGGAAGGTTCCATGCACCTTTCTGGTAACACTGGCATGGCTGAAACTTGCCAAGTTAGCTACTTGTCAAAACCACAGACACTCCACTTCTCAACCATTTCAGGAACTGTACAAACACTGGTGATGAGGGAACCAGATGCAAACTGGGCTATGAAAACAGAAACTTTTTGGAAGCATTTCACATTTGGATTTCTTCCATGTCTGTACAGTTAGAAACTGTCATGCTCCGTCTCTAATTGCACTGAAATCTGCGTCCTGGAACAATGTCCTGAATACCTCGTGGCCATAAGTCATATACTTCAAGTGTTTCAACACCTTGTTCTTTTTTAGGTTACAGTGATAACAAGAACTGCCATGAGTCTTACAATTCATCAGTCAAAAGAAAAAGAACAAGTTGTTCACATGCATGTCACCTGTTCATTGTAATTGTCAAGCTGAGGTGCCAGGAAAACATGCCGTGTGTGCAATCATGAGTGAGGGTTGGTGGCCACATAAGACACCAAACCAAGCTCAGCCTTGCAGGTGTTGGTAGAAAATCTGGATTTTATTCTCAGTGTACTGAAAATTATTGAAGGATTTAGAAAGTGAAATGACAAAATACAGCCTAGATTTTTAAAATGTTACTTTATCTGCTGATGAAACTACATTGACATATTTACTAGTCATACACAGTGTGTGCTCTGATGTTAACCCCACCACAGTAAGAAGTGTCCAGGTAGCCGACTCTCAGGATTCCGCTGCAAGGTGCAGCCATAAACCAAGTCACGCTGAGCTGGTGACTCCCCTGACACTCTCACAGTGCTCATGACACCTGTGAATTTCTGTACAAGAACCACAGTCTCCTTCTCTAAGCATTCCCAAAAGGAGTTACAACCTTTCACCAAACTAAAAGTGCACTGTGGGAAAGGAGATACTCAGACCTTGGGGACTCCTGGACCCTGGCTCTGAACGAACACAAATTCCAGGAGACCCAGGATGCTCTGGCGATCCAGCGTAGAACGCACGTAGGTCCAGTGTCCATGGCCATGTTGCCAGGGGCGGCTGCCAGCCAGCCCTTCCTGCTGCTGTCTCCCAGCGTCTGGACGCATCCCTGGGACAGACGGACTCAGCACCCGGTGGATCCGCAGCAGTGGCTCCCTAACCTGTGGTGTGAGGGCTGCGCTGGCAGGAAAAGCTAGTGGCAGCCTTGAAGACTGCCTCTGCCCAGAAAAATAATCTGAAACACTCCTGGAGGGAACGATGGGACTGAAGCCACCATCCAGGGCTTAAGAGCTGAGGGGCAGCGATTCCCACCACCGCCCATTCCACTCGCATTTACTCAGCTCTAGAAGCGAGAGTTCCTTCCGAAGCAAAACACACAGATGAGTTGGCTACGTCTAGCAATAACCCTCAATTCTAAAATGCTTTGTTCGGGAAGATAGTTTGATCATTCTCTCAAATGGCTTATGTTTTAACTTTAAAAATATATTTGGGCCAGGCGTGGTGGTTCAATCTGTAATTCCAGTACTTCGGGAGGCCAAGGTGAGAGGACTGCCTGAGCCCGGGCATTTGTCACCACCCTGGGCAACTTGGTGAGACCTTGTCTCTACAATAAATCACAAAAACTAGCCAGCCATGGTGGCGTGCATCTGTAGTTCTAGCCTTGGAAGGCTGAGGTGGAAGGATTGCCTGAGTCCAGAGGATCGAGTCTGCAGTGACTGTGAGCATGCCACTGCACTCCAGCCTGGGTGACAGAGTGAGACTCCAACTCCAAAAAAAAAGAAAACAAACACAAAAAAACCATTTGTAGTGATAAAATGAAAGTGTTGCCGATTTTATAAATGGGAGTTCTGTGTAAGTTTTGATTTAGAAGGGAGGGGGGCAGGCATGGCGGCTCATACTTGTAATCCCAGCACTTTGGGAGGCTGAGGCGGGAGGATTGCTTGAGCCCGGGAGTTCAAGACCAGCCTGGGCAACATAGTAAGACCTTGTCTCTATAAAAAATAAAAAAAAAAATTAGCTGGGTATGGTGGCACACACCTGTAGTCCCAGCTACTTGGGAGGCTGAGGTGGAAGGATCCCCTGAAGCCAGGAGGTCGAAACTGCAGTGAACCATGATCATGCCACTGCACTCCAGCCTGAGTGACAGAGCTAGACTCAAAAAAAAAAAAAAAAAAAAGGTGAGTGAGAGAGAGGGGATATGCTGGGCTGCTAAACATGTCTGAAAACTGTTGGTATCCGGCAAAGAATTTTAGCTTTCTGGCTGGACAGACCTCGGTCTGAAACGCCATCCTTTGCTTAATTAGTCACAGGTTTTTAGGCAAATTAATCTCCGGGCACCTCAGTTTTCCCCTCTGTCCAATGCAGATTGTCTTGGCAAATAATTTGGGACATTATTGGGGGAGTGAAATGAGACAGGGCACTCAGAACAGTCAGTCTGGTTCCTGGCATGTGGCAAGCATTGAAGAACCTACTTACTTCCATCAGGAATATCAGGACTGCAGGAGAATAGAGCCGTGTCTACATGCATACAATCTGCAAAAGCTGTTTGAAGACTCTGAATTCTAGAAACTAGGACACCTGTGGACTTAGGTCTCAGAATATCTCAGCTTAGTATTTATCATTAATAATACGTGGCACAGTTGACAGGAAAGAGTGACTCAGGGATATGAAAAAACTGGGTCTAAAGATTATGTGACCCTTGCCACCGTCACCATGAGCTTCAGAATCAAACACATCTACTCGGGCGTGTTGAAATAGAATGTGAGGTGAGCTATTAACGCTGAAAATATCAGGAGTCCTGACTCTTCCAGGGAGCATTCAGTTAATGCTTTTCTGCTAGGTTCATTGAAACTTCATTTCTTGACTTAAACTTTGATGCGAGAACGTATTGATCAGGTTGTTACTGTCACTTCTATGAAATAACGTGGGGGGGGAGTTAGTCACACTGGAAGAAGCTGGCCCAACAACCCCCTGGCCCGAGCCATACCTGCTTGGAAAGCACCTTCATGTGCCCCACGCTCCCCCGGCAGTAGGCTTCGAGGATGACCCCAAACTGAACTGACACAGCAGGGATGTGCACTTCTGACCTGCAAAGAGCCAACGACAACCAGTGGTACCGAGCGCTTCGGATCACCAGGCGAGAGCACTGACTTCAAGCGACGGCCACCAAAGGAAAGCACAAGCCGTCTCGCGCATCACTCACTGCTGGTGAGACGGGCAACTCGCCGACCTGCTCCACTTCAGAGCTCAAAAAGGTGTGAGGTTTTATGGGGAGCTACTTCTTTAATTCCAAGAAGCCTAAAATTTTCACATCTTACCTGATTTGGTTTTTGGAGAGGAAAGGGAATTCGGCCGATTTATTTATTTATTTATTTATTTATTTATTTGAGTTGGAGTCTCACTCTGCCGCCCAGACTGGAGGGCAGTGGCCGTTCCCGGCCAGCGCAGCCTCGACCTGCTGGGCTCCGGCGATCCTTCCGCCTCAGCCTTCCGAGTAGCCGGAATTACAGGCGTGCGCTACCATGCCCGGCTGATTTTTTGATTTATTGTAGAGATGAGGTCTCACTGCCCAGGCGGGTCTCGAACCCGCGGGCTTAGGCAATCCACTCACCTCAGCCTCCCCAAGGCGCGGGATGACAGGCTGAGCCACCGAGCCCGGCCGAATCCTACCAATTTAAAGAAAATGAGGCCAAGACAGAGATGGGTGAGATGTGACTGGGGTTATACAGGCAACTGAGGCTTTTGTTATCTTCTATTCTCATTTCTTCTTATTTAAAGAATTCCGTACATATTTGGAAAAGGATGGAATACTTATTTTGTTTGTTGTTCCCTGAGGGATTTAAAAATAAAACTGAACTGGATGAGGAGAGAAGGCAAATCAAAAATAGAATAGAAAAATCCATGAATAACCAGGTGACATAGGGACCAAAGTGAGGTCCAAACTTTACCTGTACAACGACCATTTGTACACCTAACCCTGAATTGTACCCTACTTTAAAAAAAAAAAAAAAATACTCTCATCCAAAAAAAAAATTCTATGAATAAGGAAACCATAATCCAGAAATAAAACCCCAAAAGTTAACAGCAATAATACTATAGACCTTATTTTCTTTAAGAAGTTCAGCTCAAAAGAAGCAAGAAAAAGAATGTTTTTCTGTTAAGCAAGAGTTTCCAGTCTGATTTTCAGATGGCGGGGCGGGGGAAGTCTGAGTACAGAGTCAAAAATGAGAAATCAACAATTTCTTTGGGAAACAAAGGAATGACTTTAGTTCTCTTTCCTGATATTACTCATCTATGAACTTGGTGAAATAAGGCTCATGTGTTTCTGGGAATGATCTAGTTCGTGAAGAAACGGATCTGGAAACAGGGGGAAGCACCAAGACAGTGTCCATGTTACAAATGTTTTGGACACAACGGACCCAGCGTCTGTCATGTGGAAGGCCGTCTATTCTGTGGGTTTATAGTTGCTAGAACACACGGTGGGCTCAAGCTGAAATAGAAAAGACTTACCTCAGATGCCAAAACAGAAACTGCCCGATCCTGCGATTGGCAAGGGCTCTTTCTAGCAGGAATCTGGAGAGTGCACAATCAAGAAAGGGCTCGTATTTCAAAACTTGCACCAGTTGCAAAAGATACTGAGCAAGTTCCTCGTCGCTGAAAGAAACAGAGGCCACAGTGAGTCACTCAACAACCTGTGCCAAGACAGCCCCTTCCTCACACGCTGGCAAAAGCCAGCCTAGAATTCACAGTGGTTCTCGGGCTGTGATGCACTTGCATTCACTGACCACCTACCGTTACGGTGTCACAAGAAAAGCTACCATGTCACATGGGGAAAGGGAGCAGAGAAGGTCAGGGGACAAACACACAGGATATTTTTATCCAATTTAGGTCAGAATTAGGAATTTAATACCGGTTTCTGATTGTGTTGAAAAACTTAACGTGTTAGTCAAGCAATTGTTTTTTAAATAAAAATTCCATCGGCCTTTTAGTGATTTATTTTCCTTTGCTATCATTAGGGTTAAGTAAGTCCTTCTGCCAGGTAACTAGAGCCATTAAAATCTTAACTCCAGGGAGGAAAAAAAATTCTTCAAATAGTTTGAAGGATAAGAAAATGAACGCAGTTGTAAGTGGGGATTGACTCACCGAATTAATATAACAGACAATATTATAGTGAATGGGGCTGAGTTAACTATGGTTAGCAGGTCTCTGCTTTGTGTCTATCTCCAGATGCTCCTGTAAACGCATTCCTGCCAGAGGAAATTCCAGTGGTGTAAGGTATGTATCCCAACTCTTCCACTTACAGACTACAGCCTTGGGCCACAAATGGTTAAGGAACCAGTCTAAGGCGAACCTGGGACTGAAGTCTGTCCCCGAGCCCCCACACAAAACCCACGCCCAGAACATACGACAGAGAAAGCAACATGGCAAGCTTCGTGGAGCACAGGGGCCACACGGCATCTCTGCAGAGGGATCAGTGCATTTAAGGCGGCCTGTGCACAGGTGGCCTCCCATGCAGACCCAGGGAGATGGGGCCACTGGGAGGGAGCTTCGTGTTTTAAAACCACAACCCGTCAAATTTGTGATGACAAAACCTACACACAGTGTAAAAACCAGTACGCACAGGAACAGAAGGAGGCTTCCTCTTGCCTCAGGCATCTAATCCCACTCCCCAGAAGTCACCATCACGGACAAGCTAGTGTGACTGCTTTTGAACATCACAAGGCTCTACACAGATACATTTTTTAAAAAGAAGTCACATATCATAGCATACATATTGTTTTGGAAACTTTTATTTTCCAAACAACAACATGGTACAAGTCGGGCTCGGCGGCTCAGCCTGTAATCCCGTGCCTTTGGGAGGCTGAGGTGAGTGGATTGCCTGAGCCCGCGGGTTCGAGACCCGCTTGGGCAACTTGGCGAGACCTCATCTCTACAATAAAATCAAAAAATTAGCTGGGTGTCATAGCGCACGCCTGTAATTCCGGCTACTCGGAAGGCTGAGGCGGAAAGATCGCCGGAGCCCAGCAGGTCGAGGCTGCGGTGGCCGGGAGCAGCCACTGCATTCCAGTCTGGGCGACAGAGTGAGACTCCAACTCAAAAACAACAACAACAACAACAACAAATATGGTATATAAACCTCATTTTTGAAACTAGAAAGAAAATAGGTAAACCTCATTGTCTGAGGAAGTTATTTCTTCAATGAATCATGTTCACAGCAGCATTATTTATAATAGGGAAATCTGGGGAAAATTTAACATGGTCCTTAACAAGGGAATGCATTAGATAAGCTATATTCCCATGACAGAATATTATGTAGCCGAGAAAGAAATAAACTACTTTAAGCATGATGGAAGAAATTAATTTCAAGAACCTAATATTGAATTAAAAAAAGGTGTCCAATACAAATGGCTAAGACATACTTGTGTCATTTTAAAATGCGCAATATTATACTCTATACTTTTACAGACGTGCATATATACGGCAAAACAAAAAAACGTGGTATGAAATCGTACATGCCAGCTGCCATAACGGTTGCCTCTGAGAAAGAAGTGATCTGGACTGATGGGGTGAGAACGCGACAAGGGCTTCAATTTCAGCTGTGATATATTTGCTCAAAAGCAATCGTTTCAGAACCCATGACAAAATATTAACATTTCTTAATTCTGGTGGTGGACAGACAAGCTATGAAGAGTAGAGGGGATATGGCAGGCCTGGCTGCTGTCCTCTGAAAGTCTGCTTATGAAGCCGGCCCGGGCCAGCACCCGCGAGCTGAGATTTCAGAGGGTTCCCACCAACGCCCACGCCGGCAGGAGAGACAGCACGTGCCACGGCCCCCTTGCCTTCAGGGAGTCTAAGAACCTGGCACGTGCTGGGCAAGGGTGCTCCTGGGACCAGTCTCCAGCAAAAGCCCCAGGCCTGGGTCTCTACTGGCTTCCCTGGTGGCCACCCACTGTCCCAAGTCCCTGCTGGGCGAGGGAAAAGTGCCGGGCGTGACTCCCTGGGAAAGGACGCCTGGTTGCCTACACACGCCTGGCCTCCGGACTTCACCCGTGACCTCTCCCCTTTCCCGGTTGTGTCCTGTATCCTTCTGCTGCAATAAGCTGTATCTGTGAGCACGACCCTACGCTGAGTTCCACGAGTTCTCCAAGCAAACCGTGAACATGAGGGTGATCTCGGGGACCTCCGACCCAAGAGGGTGTGTTGACTTAATGCAACAGACACAGGGTGGGAGGAGGGACAGGAGCAGATGCTTTGCATCCTGGTGATCCTCGGCCCCTGCCCTCGCAGGGGACACTCCGGGAGACGCCCCCCTGCCCACCGCCCCAGCCCTTCCTCGGCCAGGAAAGCCGCCTGCAGGAGATACCTCATCTGTCGCAGGCAGTCCACGGCATACTCCCGCACGTACTGGTCTGGATAGTTGAAATCCAGGAGCTCCAGGGCTTCCCGGGGAGGCAGCTTAGGCCAGATCTGAAGCAGCGCCTGGAGCTGTTTGGAAAAGGAAACTGATTCAGAATGGGGGACGTGCAGGAGTCCCAGGCAGGTCAAAAGGAGGGCAAGCACACTTCCAACAACCGGCAGCTCGAGCATCCGCTCCTGTTAAAAGGCCTGAGGACTGTCTCTGTGGTTGAAACATTCTGTAGGTAAGTTTACAAAGCCACTAAGCACTTACCCCAGAGTGGCATGCCGAATAGATGTATCCTAGAATCATTGGCCATTGAATAATTTTTTTTTTTTGAGTCAGAGTCTCACTCTGTCACCCAGGGTGGAGTGCAGTGGCATGCTCATGGCCACCGCAGCCTCGACCTGCTGGGCTCAGGCAATGCTTCTAACTCACCCTTCCAACTTGCTGGAACTACAGGTGCACACCACCACGCCCAGATAATTTTTTGATTTATGGTAGAGACGAGGTTTCACCAAATTGCCCAGACTGGTCTTGAGCCCTGGGCTCAGGCAGTCCTCTCGCCTTGGCCTCCCAAAGTGCTGGGATTATAGGCGTGAGCCACCATGGCCAGTCAAGCAATTTTTTAAAGGTAAAAGAAGAAATAAAAAAAAAATCAAGAAACACTTGAAGGTAAGATTCAAAGTACAAATGTTGGCTGTTCTTAGACTCAAGCTAAGAACAGGCCATTGATATTTAAGAGGTTCATTAACAGGCTGGGTAAGGCAGCTCACACCTGTAATCCCAGCACTGTGGGAGGCTGAGGTGGGAGGACTGACTGAGCCCAGGAGTTCCAGACCAGCCTGGGCAATATAACAAGACCTCACCTCTACAAAAAATTTAAAAAATTAGCCAGGCGTGGTGGTGTGTGCTTGTAGTCCCAGGTACTTGGGAGGTTAAGGTGGAAGGATTGCCTGAGCCCACAAGGTCGAGGCTGCAGTGAGCCATGAGCATGCCACTGCACTCCAGTCTAGGTGACAGTGAGACTCCAACTCAAAAATATATATAAAGAGAGAGAGAGTCTTGAAGGATGATGGCGCCAGTGAGACTCGGTACCCTTTGAGGCCAAGAGATTTATTAGAGCAGCGGCTACAGGGAGAGGGAAGGAGGTCTGTAACCGCCTGGTGGGAAAAGGGAGTGAGAGAGAGGGCGAGAGAGAGGTCTGTATTTATTGGTTTTGGGAGGGGGCGGCCTGTGCTCTCTGAGCCTGGCCGTGCCAGCCAGAGCCATCTTAGGGTCTTTATTGGAGGGAGCTATGAGGTAGCATTCCTATAGGGAGATAATGTTTGTACATGAGTTTAAGTTTCGCACGCGCATGGGAGAGGCAGGAATTTACGGCCTTTGTTGTCTTTGTTAGGTTCCCTAGTGTTGGCGCCATCTCAGAAGACATCCTTCTGGCTGTTCCCCGTGCCTTTCAAGTCTCATATCAAGCAAAGGTAAAAGTTAAGTTCACTAAAGATGATTTTTAAGGAATAATGTAACTTTTTATTGTTTTGCACTTGAAAAATAACTTGTGAGAAAAATGACACCTGTGTTTTTAAATGTGATTATGTTACTATTCTGAGCATATGTTAATATAAACTGCTAACTTACACATGTAATTTGATATATTTAAACTTCACAAATAGGCATTAAGGGCATTAATAAGTTAATAAGCAAGTGTAGTGAAATGCTGGCCATTTTAAAATTTTCATTGAAAACTCAAGTTTTTATGTAGCCATGTTAACCCTGCGCTGAATACAGCCTGCTCTTTGTGACGGCTACGGCGCACGTAAGCGCACAACACAGAAGAGACACGCGGTGTGTGCCGGAGCCCCATGGGGACAGGACAGTGAGGCAGGAAAGGTCTGTCAAGGCCCCGAAGGGCAGAAGAGTCCAACAGGTGGAGAGACGCTTCCAGCCTCGCCCCACCTGTGCTCACGGACAGGCCTCCCCCCACTCTGCCCACTGCCCGAGGGAGGGCCGGAAGGACTGTCCCCCGGGGTCTAAAATGGTGGTAATAAAAAACTTCTGGCACCCCCATTGGTACTTGGGCTACACTCCTGGCAAACAATTCTGAAAGGGACGAGAAATTCTCTAACGCTACAGGTGTACCTGTGTTGAGTTAAAGACAACCCTGCCGTTATAGAGTGATGACTTTCGGCAAGATTTATCATTTGAATTACAGAAGTATAAAGTTAAACACATGACCAAAGCGCCACAACTGCCTGTAAGCCCTCTTTTACAAGTCCAGTAATAAACTTTTTCTCCCGCGACTGTATACAATCATCAGATGACACGTTTCGCTGATGCACACCCAGCCCTGCACGCGACTCATGAGAAGTGGGCAGGTGGCCAAGCTAAAAAAAGAAAAGGGCGAGATCGTATTTTCCAGCATTACTGGGGATTTACAGAAAACTGACCCTAAACTGAGACCATAAATAAGTGGTTAGAAGACAGTCGCCGTTCTAAAGCAGGTCAAACCTATCTAAATGGCATTAAAAACTTCCTTTTCAGAGCAACGGTCACGTGGTCGAAGGCGAAAACAATTTAAGCACAGTACCTGCAGGAATGTGATTACAGAACAAGAAGTAAAGGCGGAATAAATCCTTTCCAACACTCGATTTCAAGAGCAAAATGATACAGTCCAAGGGGTGTTTTTGTTTTTGTTTTTAGTGCCACTGCCGGGAGGCCACAGGCACTAGCACTGGCTCCCTGCTGGGTTTGGCCTGCACACTTTTTCTAAGTTTTTAATTACATCAAAGAACACAACGGTTGGCCTGGACCAGATGATCTCCCTGTGGGCTGGATCCCAAGCTCGGGCGCATGGTCAGGACGGACCACCTAGCCGCCCCACAGACCTGGAAATGCCTGGGAAGGGCACGGCGTGCCTTTGCGGGACCTCCTAGCTCACAGGCGAGGTTGCCCTGTCATGCGGACCCGCCAGGCGCAGGTGGAGATGGCCGTCTTCCTGTCCCAGAGAGGCCCCGAGGCGCCACAATTCCCAGCCTGCTCCTGGGTTGGAAGACTCCCACGGAGGGTCCTCAGTGTCTCCCCATGGGGCAGTGCCCAGGTGTGGCCCCTCCCCCTTGGCTGTCTGACACCCCTGGGACTGGCCCCGACCGGCCAGACCGACAGCAGTAGCACCACCTGGACGCGAGACACATGGAATCCAGGCGGGCGCAGGCTACTCAGGAGGCCCAGGAGGGAGGACTGCTTGAGTCCAGGAGTTCGAGACCAGTCTGGGCAACATAGTGAGACCCATCTCTACAAAAATATTTTAAAAGGAAAGGAAAGAAATGCAGATTCTCGGGCCCAGCCCAGGACTGCGGCATCAGAATCTGCATTCCGGCGCATAAACGCAAGGCGCGTTCAGGAAGCTCCGACAGACGACGAGGACAGCCTCTGCAGGGCGCCCAGATATCACTGTACTGAGACGCCCCTGGAGAGAGGAGCCCCTCTCTCGACAAGCTGACCACTGCGGCAGGGAGGGGCGAGGGGCTGCAGGGCCGCCCCCAATCCGGATGGGAGCCCCTGGGAGGGGCGCTCCTCACCAAGGGTGGGGCCGGGACGCTGCCAGGGGCTCCTCGGAGACAGAGGCAGCCCTGGCTCTGGTTAGCTCAGAGACTCCAGCGAGGCAGCATCCCCAGAGGGACCACGCCTGTGGCCCGGCCGGCACTCAGGCCCTGCCCAGCCTCGGTTCCCTGCCCTGCCCCTGCCTCCCAGCCTCCCGCCCGAACCAGACATTTGCGGACGCTTCTGTGCTCCACCGGGACCAGGAGCATTTTCCCGGGGAGCACGCAGGGCGGGCCTGGTCCGGCTGGAGGACAAGGTTGGCTCGCCGGGTGCTGGCCATGGGCGGGAGGGCGCCCCAGCCCATCCACGGAGGGGCCGCCCGCGCTGTCCCCCAGCGGCTGCCGCCCGACCTCTCGGGGCCCTCGGCTGGGACCGAGACAGGGGAGGCCCTGCGAGCTGAGCTCCCCAGTGCACGCCCTCCGCCCCGAAGGCCGGGGCTGGCGCCAATCGCCTCTGACCACACAGATCGGAAGCCCCGAGGAACGGGGCGGGCCCTCCCTGCCCCACACAGGGCTGGAGGTGGGCGGGGGAGGCCTGTGTCCCGACCTCCTTCTGCTCCCCACTCTGCCAGGGGCAGTGCTCGCTCTGCCTCCTCCCGATGGCTCAAGCGCACTCCGGGCAGCGAGGAGCCCGGGCGAGAGGCACAGTCGCGGGTCTGCGGTCTTGGCCCTCCTGGGCAGGAAACAGTCCCCTTCCCAGCAGCCCCACCCGGGAGGCCTCCATTTCCGGCTCGCCAGCCAGAGGAGAGTCACGTGGCCACCCCCAGGTGCAAGAGAGCAGGGGACGGCAAATTTTCAGGGTGCCCAATCAGAGTTCGAAGAAGAACAGAAGGACCCAGGAGCAGGCCAGTGGCACTCAGGGTCGGGGGAGAGCCCACCCGGCCTGTGCTGGGTCCCATCCTGTGACCTGGCATCTGTGGACACTGGGAACACCGCTCAGCTACAGCACACAGCCACAACGTCCATTCACAGGGCTGCTGAGGGCTTCTAGAAGACGTGCACTGACGATGGGCCGTAGTGTCTGTGCTCACCAAAATCTGGGACCCTGCACACGGCAGGTGTCAGGAGGGCAGGGCACAGAGTTCTAAATGCAGGTGTTAAGATAAATATGCAATTCTTCACTGAATGTTCAAGGTCATTACAGATTTACTAAAACTACAAACACTAGAGAGACCAGCTGAACTCAAATGAGTAAGGTGAACACATTTGGTAATTTGAATAGGCCCAATTTATTTGCTTGGATTTTTTAAAGGTCTTTCTACTGAGCACTGGTGGCCACTTAAACTGAGTAAATAAATGCCAGTGCTTTCTGGCAGAATCATAAAAATTAAATCAAGGAGCTAAAATTCAGTGGGTTTTTTTTTTTTTTTTTGGACTTTTTTTCCCCATTTTCTACTCTGCCAAAAGGCACCCACGTTCATCAATACTGCCCAGTTGAAATAAATGTCAAAAACTGGTCTGGGCCCGGTTCAGTGGTTCAGCCTGTAATCCCAGCACTTTGGGAGGCCGAGGCAAGTGGGTTCGAGACCAGCTCAGATAACTTGGTGAGACACTGTCTCTACAATAAATTTAAAAAATTAGCCGGGTGTGGTCATGTATGCCTATGGTTCCAGCTACTTGGAAGGTTGAGGCAGAAGGATCACAGAGCCCAGCAGGTCGACACTGGGATGGCCGTGAGCATGCCACTGCACTCCAGCCTGGGCGACAGAGTGAGGCTCTCCAACTCAAAAAAAAATCAACAACAAAAAACTCCCCAAAACTGGTCTGAATGGCTTATAACCTAACATGTTAGCCTCTACAATAGATGCACTTTACAAATAGATATTCATTTTAGAACAGTCACGCAAAGAGTCTGAAGACTTAAAACTTTGGAGTTCATTGCTGAAGCTGGTGGGAGGCATCCAGGATGACTGGCCCCAGACCCATGTTTCAGCTGTATGTAGTGAAAGGTATGCCAGCCTTACCCGAAATCTGGGGTGTTCAAATCTTGAGATTTTCTGGCACATTATTTAGAGTCTACCAGAGCCTAAAACCTCGCAGTTTTTCTTGCAGGATAATCCGAGACAGAAGGAAAGGACACTTTCTCTGAAACCCACAAAGTACCATGTATGTCCACACAAAAGGAATTAAAGGAAGAAACTTGTTACCTGGGCAACATCTTCAAGTTTATTCCACTTGATGGACAGCAGTAATTTTGGCAGCGACTGTGGGAAATTCTCTCGGCAGTCTTGTCGCAAAGTCCAAATGAGATCCATTTCATTCTCACACAGTTGAGACAAGGGGTCCCTGTCCAAGATTTCTTTCAGTACGGCAAGGAACTTTTTGCCACCACGACTCTAAGAAAGTAAAACACTCATCATAGCATTTAACTAAGCAAACATCACTGGCAAACATTCAGCAAAATTTATATACAATAAATTTATAGTAACACATGAGCTTTAATATGTGGTATACTAAAATGTAGTTCCTCAAAAAGACTAATAAAGACCTATACTTTATAGATGTTCTTATTGGTCAATATTAAGTTTGTTAAGGGATGAAGGGATTCTCAAAAAAATACTGTTTTTAAAAAACCTAAAATTTTAAGATGTGCATACACTAGGTGGCAGTATTGCTCTTTGGATTAAAAAACCAAGTCATTATTTGAACTGAATTTCCATAAACAAACAACAACAAAACCAAAGATGGCCCAAACAAATGAGGTTAAAAATAATACTAACAGGTGTCTTCTTGGCCTGTGCCTTGAGTCAGAGGCGTACATCTCCTCAGATTAAGAACTGAATGTTGGCTAAAATTAAACACGGAAAAAATACAATGATCTCATTTTCCTTCCCAATCCCTATAAAAATACACTAAAGAAGACGGCCCGTGTTCTTTTTTGGATCCAAGCTCTCTGAATTCCACTAACATCAAAAGAAGAGGTATATCTCCCCATTCTTAAGTCAAAATCACACTTGGTCAAAGCACATATTCTACTAAGAATCTCCTTCCAAGATGAACTGAGGAGACCCTCTAAGGATTTATACCCTATTGCATTTTACTTTGCCTTTGACTGGGATTTCATATGAACGTGAACATAAATAAAACTGTCACGTTACCACCAACTTTCTAAAGTCGTCAAATTCAAAACAGCATGCAGCTTAATAAAAAAAAGAACGGGAAACACTAAGTGTAATTTCACTGAGGGAGGCGACTTTTGGATGTTGTCTTGGGGGGAGGGGGGGACACATTCCTGGAACAGACCAAGGACAGACCGTAGCCAAACCAGCGTAAGGGACACCCATGCTGAAGGTTTACTTCAAGGATTAAACACTGTATGAAGTTAGTACTTGTATTCTCAGTTTGTCCAGCTGTTAATGGCAACTTAAGCATTTACTTACTTTCTTGTCATTAGAATGGCAATAAAGAAGTGCATGAATATGCTAAAGAAACGGAAACTTCACCAGTCTTTCTAGCACAGTATTTCTCCCAATTTGACCCAAGTATAGGGCAGAACAAGTGGAAACTGTATCTGAGACATATAAAGAAGACAGTCTGCTAACATCTCAAAGATGGGGCAGAAACAGACCACAACTCCTTGTACTTAAAATCCTTTGTTGGGGCCAGGCTCAGAGGCTCGAGCCTAGAAGCTCAGTTACTCAGGAGGCTGAGGCAGGAGGACTGCTTGAGCCCAGGAACTCAAGGCTGCGATAAGCTATGGATCACACCGCTGCACTCCATCCTGGGCAACAGAACGAGACCCTCCCCCGCTTCCTTAAAAAATACATATATAGATGTAAATAAATAATAAAACACTTCACTGACTTTGCCGTTGTTTATGGAACAGAATTCAAGCGAGTATCAGAGCATCCAAGGATTCCCAAGACCTGGTCTCTGTGCCTCTCCACTTAGCCTCCAGGCTGCTCTGAATCTCTGAGTTACAAGCTAACCAGCCCAGACTGGCGGCCGCATCTTTGACTGCGTATGCGGCGATGCTCATTAGCATCTTTCTTAATATACTGTTTTTTATTTTTATTTTTTTGGCTCTCACTGATGAACTCGAGGTGGAAATCGTATCTTTTCCCCATTTATATCCCTAGCATGAAGCAGATACTCAATAAGTAAACTGAGTCAAAAAAGAATGCAATTATGCACATTAACATTCTGAATCCAGTTGTAAGTCCTATAACACCGAACAACTCAAATACAATTCAGTAACTAAACAAAACAGATGAGGTGACCATTTACAAACTCTCTACACTAGGCATCTTTGGGAAGAGGTTAGAAGCTATAGCCAGAGTAAAGCTCCCTGAAAAAACACAAATGAGCTAATAATCACTAGAATGAGCCCAGTCTTACAACAAGCCTATCAGTCAGGTCGAGCAAACAAAAAAGTCAGGCAAGCAGAGAGCCAGGGGGGTGCACACGCGCACACCCCCCCCCCAGGGGTTCTGCTCACATCTCTTTCTTATTTCTAGTTAGTGAGGAGGATCCATCTATACGAGTTACCTGGGAGCACTTAATGTGGAAGCTGCCATGGCAGAACAATGACCAGACCCTGAGAGCAAGTCCGGGGAGTGTGTGTCATGGGCTCATGGTCACCGCGTGGAGGCGGAGAACAAAGCAGCCTACCTCTCGTTTTCTGTGTTTAGGACAGTCACACGGGGTCAGAGCCACGGAGCCTTCCGCTCAGTCTCTCTCTGACAAAACGCCAAGAAACACGTGATTGTCTTCTTAAAAATCAACTTTACAGGTCAGGGTTACAAACGCTCTTGTTTCCCTTAGTACTATGTTAAAGCTTTATTTTTCATTACACTAGAAACGATTTTTAAAATGCTTTAAGGCCAGGCACAGTGGCTCAGGCCTATAATCACAGCCCTTGGGGAGACCAAGGTGGGAGGACTGCTTGAGCCCAAGAGTTTGAGAACAGCCTGGGCAACACAGCCAACACTCCTTCCTACAAAAAATAAAAAAAATCAGCCAGGCAAGGTGGTACCCACCCAAAGTCCCAGCTACTTGGGAGGCTGAGGTGGAAGGAAAGCCCGAGCCCAGAAGGTTGAGGCTGTGGTAAGCCGTGACTGCACCACTGCACTCTAGCCTGGGCAACAGAGACCCCACCTCCAAAGAAAAAAGTCTTACACCTTTACTCTCATAAGATAATGATTTCTCCAAATGTTCTGCTCTCCCTCTCAATTATGAACACTGAAAAAAATATGAAAAGTTTCTGTCTTACCAGGTTGAAGAATTCTAATCTTTAATAAGTTAACAGAAGAGAACGCACACTACAATAAACTTTTTAAGACCGCCAAAGTCGAATCAGACAAGCAAACTCCAAGTCCTCTGGATCTCGTAGGCAGACACGTACGTTTCCTTTCTTTTCTTTTTAATTACAAAGATGTGGGGCACAATTCAGGGTTAGGTATACAAATGTCGATTATGCAGGCACCCTTGTTAGACACGTAAGTTTCACTGGACTAACGAAAAGTTTCTCTGCATAATTACACTGGTTTTCTTTCCTATTCAGAGAATCAGCCTACCTGGGTTTCATCAGGTAATGGTAAGTCATCAGAATTCGAAAATGAACGCCCAGCCAAACCTGTCGCTGCGAACAGCACGGAGAACGCAAGCTGTTCAGATCCCAGAGGGGCCGGTGGCTGTGAAGGCGAGCAGCCGGGGCGGATCCAAGTCAGACCCCCAGGCCGCTGCCGGCAGGTGCCCCGGAGCGCAGGGGCTCTCAGGGAGGGGCCGCCGCGGCACACACCGCCGGAGGCGCGGCCGAGGCCCGCGCCAGACACGGAGCCTCACCTCCTCGCGCGCCACGCGAGTCCGTCTGAAAAGCCACGGGGGCCGCGCAGCTGGGAAGTGCACACACGCCCAAACGGCGCGCCAGGATGATACGGGGGCGGCCAGCAGGGAAAGGAACGGCCACCGTGGCCACGTTGCTTCTACGTCGAGGGGTCGGCAGACTGCAACACACGCGCA